AAAAATCGCACAGACTTGGTTCATTTGTGCACATTTCACTTTCATGACAGTTAACAAATTATTACGTTTTAATATCAAGACAAGCCGTCTGCTGTCTCATGACTATTTTGATTCTGTCTCTTGCCTACGTTGGTGCTGTCTCTTGACTGCGTTGTTGCTGTCTCTTGACTACATTGTTGCTGTCTCTTGACTACATTGTTGGTGTCTCTTGACTACGTTGTTGCTGTCTCTTGACTACGTTGTTACTGTCTCTTCATTACGTTGTTACTGTCTCTTCATTATATTGTTGCTGTCTCTTCATTACGTTGTTGCTGTCACTCGACTACAATGTTTCAGCACAGCAACAACGTTTTTTCAGGGTGGGGGGAACCAAAACGAGGTCGGGTTGTTAAAATGTTTATCTCTGGAGGATCTACAGTACATAGCAATTTAAAATAACACCTGCAAATTCAGGGAGGGGGGTGGGGGCAAATGCCCCACTGTGCCCTTCCCAAAAAACGTTCCTGGTTTTTTAGTCAATAATTAACGTATGCGTTATCAAACAATCCATTCTATATGGTCACGACCAAAATAAGGACCTGGTATAAATAATTGGACACATCCACCAACATTTCACAGATGTAGGATACAAGAACAAAACGAAAAATTTAATAGTTAGTCATGAGCTCGTGATTCCCGTCCGTGAGCTTCTATTAAATGTTTAGTTTCGCACATCCAAACAAACTGAACAAATATAGTAGTACAACATTATTTTTCGTTACAAATGAGACTGCATTTCAAATGCCGTTTTTAGAAAACAAAGATTTCTTATAGTTGTTTTACAGTGATATTTTATCTATAATTTACTATAACTTCCCTTTAGTTGAACTTATTTATAAATTGATTGGTTTATATCTAAGTTCTTGAATGTTTTGAAGCGTCTCTTAATTTAAATATATTTCCAGGTACCCCGTCCCAACCAACACTCACCATTCAGAAATTTCTTATTACAATGGAAATAAACATGGTTACCGGGGTCTTCCTGAACCCCTGCCACTATTCCTCGCACCCCTGTTAATACTTCTGGCACCCCTGCCAATACTTCTCCTCGCACCCCTGCCACTACTTCTCCTCGCACCCCTGCCACTACTTCTCCTCGCACCAATGCCACTACTTCTTCTCGCTCCCCTGCCACTACTTCTCCTCGCACCAATGCCACTACTTATCCTCGCACCAATGCCACTATTTCTCCTCGCACCAATGCCACTACTTCTCCTCGCACCAATGCCACTACTTCTCCTCGCACTATGTCACTATTTCTCCTCGCACCAATGCCACTTCTTCTCCTCGCACCAATGCCACTACTTCTTCTCGCTCCCCTGCCACTACTTCTCCTCGCACCAATGCCACTACTTATCCTCGCACCAATGTCACTATTTCTCCTCGCACCAATGCCACTACTTCTCCTCGCACCAATGCCACTACTTCTCCTCGC